TATAACGTTTCCTATTACACTTACTCCTCCACACATAGTTACTAGTTCCCCTCTTTCTGCCGATGTTACCTGTGCAACTTGCTTTTGGTCCTTCGCTGCTACAACTTTAGGAGAATCTTGAACAGTAGTTAAAGCCGTTTCGTACACACTATATATTCTATCTGCATTAAACTTAAATTTCGAATACATCTCTTCAAGTTTTTTGTAAAATCCATCTACTACTGGTTTATTAAATCCCATTGATCTAGCCAGTGTTATTGACTGAGCAGTTCGTATTGAAATACTTTTATTTCTTTTTAAGAATGCTGTAAACCAATCCCGTCCAGCACATTTTTCTTTTTCCCAAGACTTTGGAAATTTTTTATTGTTTGCAACTGCTAGTTGATATGCCAGTTTTTTTACAGATATTGGGGGTAAACCATGATGAAGTTTTGGGCTTATTTTTAAATATTCACATAAATTTTCTTCTTCACTTTCTGTGAAAATTTGACGAAGCGTGTAATATGGAGAAAGTTTTGGAAGATCTTCTAAAGTTGCGTAGTCCTAGTCTATTTATTTAAATTTTTGCATTTAGCTTCTTGGGATAACAAAAGTAAGACTTACCCTTTTTAAACTGTAACCTCCATTGATTACTGCAACTACGCCAGCAAACATTGTTTGTGGTTTAACAAGGCTAATATTACTTTTTCGTTTTCGGTTACGGACCATTTTCTAAAAGAAAAACATCTGCATCAGTAATGGAGTGTATACTATTAATCTATATGTAAATAGAGCAGTGACCACTGTACCACATGTTTATGGTTGCAGTGACCACTGTGCCCTTTGTTTATGGTGGCCACTGTACCCCGTGTGCGTCTTAAATGTTTTTTAACTCATAAGTAGAAAACCCGTCATTTGTTTTGCTTACGTTCTATATCAAAAAGCATTTTTCACGTTATACCCGACGGCTGTCGAATTACTCCGACTTAAATACAGTTTAAATAAAGTGTATTCACTGTGCCCCCGTATATATCCACTGTGCCCCGCTCTCCCCTACCTAATTCTGGCAAAAATCTATTTATTTTACTTATTTGTTAAGAATTATTTTTTCTAATTCCACGCCCAAATTGACTAATTAATTTGAACACAATTAAAAAGTATTTAGCATTTTTTTTTCGAACAAAACATTAAAACATTGACTGATATTAGAACAATTTATTTAAATTTTATTTTTTTTACAGGGTAATCAAGTGTTTTTCGGAATGGACTTTGGCTGCGGACAAGGGAATCAATACGCCAATCAGTATACTACACAATCACATAATGGTATTCAAAACGAAATAGACAAGAAACATAATTAAAATCAATCGAATTTTATAATTCGTATTTTATTCTAATAATTTATCCGAAATTTTAATTGTCACGAAGAATAATTTGGTCGAGCTGAAACGACGTCATCTCATAAGTATTACTTTTTTATAGTGCTGGAAATATACTATTTCTTGGGATTTACTATAAAGAAAAATAACATGTCATTATTTAGTAACGTGGCGTCGTCGTATCATCTCTAATGTTATTTCATAATCAATCATAGTGCTCTAGACGCACAATTCATAACATTCAACAAAAATCAAAAATATCCTCAATATATTTTACTTTTTTTAAAATATTTGGGTTTAAAAAAATTGTTAATCCAGATCTTCCTAAAATGTCTCATAAAAAAAGAGAACTTACAAACGTTTATGTACAAGCCTGTTGCACGAAGATATTTTATTAGCAGAATTTATTGATTCTTGCAACTGGCGTAAGGGTATCATAACATAAAATGTTGTTAATAAGCTGTTGATTATTTTTACGATAGATAAGATGTGATTATTATAATCAAAAAAACGAAGATTTCTTTTTATACATATAATTGTTATTTATTTAGGTGTTATCTCACAAGTTTTTCTAAAAATCGATGTTTGATTTTATCAATGATTGATAGTTTTTATAAGATTTTTGTATATAATTATAACTTGGTCATTGGATGTAACTTAGTCTTTTATATGATGTAAACACGACTTTTTGTTACCTATTGTTGAAATAAAATATGTATAGTTACCGTTTATATTTTTGTTTTCGTTTATAAATTACACGTTTTCCTTTTTTTTTTATTTAATTAAAGCTACTCATGTATATAGATATTATCACTGCCATTTACGAGAAAAAAAACACGTTTTGATCATTGTTATCATATTCTCAGGGTAATATGTTGAATTATTTGGGAATTTCAATAAATTAACGTCATGTAACATTGAATTTGGACAATATCATGTAATTTTTACTTTCTAAAATGATATTAAAGCTTTTAGTAAAAAAAAATGGTTTTATTCATATTTTTTGGTATAGGTATATGTAGTTGGTATAGTCGAAACGGAATTTTAAGTGGATTTATTTACCTACTTAAACCATAAATCAATATAAAATTGATGAATTTTGATATAAGAAGCAGTGGCGGCTAGCTAGATGATGCAGGTGTCGCGCTGCTTCACCAAAATTTCAGTAGAAATTAATAAAAAAATCAACTGAATACTTAAATATTTCCTTTTCTACTATGACACAATGCCCTGCATTTTTGTCTCTATACAATTTACAAAACAGAAACCTCCAAAACTGTACCTAATTTCGGGGTATCTGGACCACTTCATGAAACAAACGAGGCGCTTGATAAAAAAAATCCGACCGTCCGGGCTCGCTTGTTTTTGGAAATATAATACAATAGAAAAATTTCCTAATCCGAGCGAACGGAGCGCTTGACGCGCTTTACATAAAACCGCCGAACACGCGTCTCTTCAATAGGCGCGTTTATGATGGTTGCCATGATAACGGCACGTTTCGATCTAGCAGATTAATGCACTTGATGAGTTGATTCAGTTTGCTTCTTCCGGTAAGGACTATTTTTATACAGCGGTTGGACAGTTGATCAATTGCGACTGCTGATGATCCGCTTTTTGGCCGCTAGGCCGAACAAATCCGATGATGCGGCCACCCATATTTTTGGAAGAAAATTCAGGAAATTGGGGGATTGGTAAATTAATCAGTAAAAAAAGATTCAAATGTAAAAAAGTCAATAGGCTATATTTTGTAACCAAAATACAAATTACACAAAAACTTCATTGGTTAAACAAAAAAAAACTTTAGAAAATATTAACCAATAAAACTTATTTTTATGTGCACAAACCATAGTTATTGTTCTTTATCGCAGTGAGTTAAGATATGCAGTCTTAACTCAGGAAACGCTGAGCATAGTCACAACCAATATTTTTTTCAAGTTCATCTCCTGCGTCACTGATAAGGTACATTTTAAATGTTCTTTTTCAGTGGTAAGAGTTTCAGTGGGATTTTCATTAGCATTTCTCAAAGAATTGTCGTTGCCTTCTTTTTTATTTCTTTTTGTTTCCTATTTGCTGCTCTCTGCTCCTTTCTTAAATTTATTTATTGAAGTTTCTCTATTTTTTGCCTTTATTTTAGTAGTAATCTCGCCAAACTTGGAAGGATATCGCGTTAGATAACTTTTCCTTTGGCGCCTTATTTTACGATTTTTTTAATAGCTTCTGGAAAATGTAAATGATTTTCAGAAGGATCTATAATATTTTCTGATCTCTTCTGAGCAATGAGTTTGAGAAGGTACATTTTCTTGGTCTATTATTTTACCCCTATTTTCTTCAATCTTATCTTCTTTAGGTACACTTTCTTGATCTAGTTTACCCCTATTTTCATTAGTCTTATATTCTTTAGGTACACTTTCTTGATCTATTATTTTATTCATATTTTCTTCAGTCTTATATTAGGTAGAGTTAGGGATTTTCAGCTCTCCTTTTCTTGTCCTGTTTTTCTCGTTACATTTTCCAAAGATCTTTCTTTTAACTTGTCTTGGACTGTGGTTTGGGGTACTCCAAATGTACGGCTCGCTTTCCTTATGCACAACTTAAGTTATTTTCTCTAATTTCAATAAGAGCCCTTTTTAACGCATCAACTGAATACAAGAAAAATATTATTTTCTGAGATTTCATAGTAAGCTGCTTCTGCAACGTGTCTGTTTTTTTGTTCCTAGCTATCTAAAACGAAAAGAAAACCGATTTATTCCTAGCATCTCGACGACGAATGGTCGAGAAAAGGCCTCCTTCTCGGCCACCTAAATTATATAGGTTTTAAATAGCAGGTCGAAAACCGGTACCATTCTCTTGTTTTCGGCCACTGAATATCGACTATTTATATTTCGCGTGCATTTTTACATTAAGTAGGTTGCCGGTAACTGCCACTGGTTTGCTATATACCCTGAGAACCAGTGGACGAAATAAGAAAGGTAATATGTAAAATAATAACATCAAAAAGAGACACCAACAAGTAGACAAATTTTACCCTGGCCGAGAATCGAATAAATGAAATTTTTGTGTCCAGTTTAACGACCACCTCACCAACTAAATATTTTTTACGTCAAAACAATTATTATATTTTACAACATCTAAATATGTACTATTTGTCTAAGTCTAAGTCTACATTCAGCGAATTTTGAGTTTTTAAAATCTGATTTCTAGTATCTAGAATCGAGAATAGGTACCTACCCCCCTAGTAATTAATCTAGTGTAAAATGTGTTGCCTACATTTTGGGACATTACTTGTTTTACAGATTATCAATCTTTTTAAAAACATGATATACGTAGGTCGACCCCATAGACATCATATTCTATCCGATATATTTTGTGGACCAAAGATATAACGATATAACAATGGCTATAATTTAAACAAACCATTAAATTTCTATTTTTTTACGAGAACGTTCATGTACTTCGCACAAATAAGAAGACGCAAATGGAATTTATATTAATTACACTTAGGAGTGGATATTTATTTTTATTGACATCCAAAATGAATAATAAAACATAAAACTAAAACACATATATTTGTGGTATCCCTTTTTTATTTTTAAATTTCGCGCACTTTAGTTAAACGTCAATGTCAATGTTATTGATGTTGCCAACATTACAAACACCAAAATTAAAAAAAAAATCAACATTGCACACATACATACAAATATAAAAAATATTGAGCTGAGCAAAAACTTAAAAAGCAATATATTAGTGAATTATTATTTATAAATTTTCAACAAATGCATATATTATTGCATTAATGGTTGTACTTGAATGTTTTTGGTACACATTTATTTTTTTATTTAACCAAGAATAGAAACGAATTCTATGAACTCTTCAAATCAAATAACTGATACAGACGAAGCTTCGAGGTAAGTTGCATCAAGATTTGTAACGAAATTAAACTGTTTTCAAAAGCTTTTGGCCTAAAATATCGATTGATTAACAGTTTTTTAGGTTATGTTTGTTATGTCAATCTTGAATGTCATCATATCAAATAATTTCTTTGTTTGCGTTTTTTAAATTTATTTTAACACAAATTTAATGAACATGTTGTAGGACTAACCCAGAAGCATCGTCAAGTACTTTCAGTAACGAGAAAAAATCCACAGACAATAAGGACGAAGTTATGAAACGAGCTGCTGCTAAGAAACTTATTGAAAGATACTTTTACCAACTTACGGATGGATGTGGGAATCCTCATTGCGATAACAAATACTGTGCATCAAGTGGGGAAGTAAGTAAATGCATTTTAATTTAAAAACAAGTTAATTCAAGTTTTAATGGTCACTGTCTTTTCCTTGCTGTACTTTGAAGTAGTACAAGGTACTTACAGTGTTTTAAAAGCAGATGGGCATAATGACAGGTTTGAAGTACTGTTAGAGCTTACCACAATCTTCTCCATTCTCCAATAGATACTTCCAGTTTTGTTCTATTATGTTCACTTGATTTCTTACCATTCAATCTCTTGATTTTCTTCTTCATATAATGCCAGTTCTTCATCTTTTCCTTCTGCATGGCACCTTAAAGACTATTGCTTACCTTGGTACATTATAGTGTGATTTTGTGAGGGTGTGTCCAATTCATTTCCATTTTCCCATTTAATACTGTATTAGATATTAATTAAATATCAGTAAGTATAATTTTAATACCAGAATATTTAATTAAAATATTGTAATTTTCAGATGAAACCATTGACACCTGATGAAGCTGCAGCACAGGCAATTCAACTGTTTTCACAAGATGCCCGTTTATGTGAAAGGCATCCAAATAAAATAGCCAGGAAACAAGGAAATATAGGAAGTAATAAAAGCGAAACAACAAATGATGTTAATTATAAATCAAATTTGCCCACAAATGAAATTGAGTCACAGAGCAATTATTCAAATAAGGATAGTGCAAAATATAACTGTGGTAAGTATACAAACAATAAATAAATGTCTTAGTTATAATTTTTGCAATTAATATTCTCAAATAAAAATTTACATGGTATTAAAATTAAAACATGTTATATATAGAGTGAGTTCCTCTCACGAAAATGGTTTTGGCCAGAAACAATCCCTGACTTTAACAGCTCTGGTCAAAACTAAAAAAATAATTATATATTTTTGACGACCTTTAGTCGTTTTTTTTTGACCTTGAGTTTTTTACTTTTTTGGGGTCCACTGAAACTGTTTATCTATTTAACTTAAGCTTTAACCCACGTCATGAGTTGATTAGATTTTGGGCATAGTCTGAAAATCTTGGGGTACTTTATAGGGGATTGTTTTTCTATTCTTATATTATATATCTGTTATTTATAATTAGAAAAGAAAAGTCTTTGAATGAGTTATTTGTGATGCCATTCTCTATAATTTTTGTTATATAAATGATTTCTCTAAAATGGTCCTTAATGGAAAAAGGGCAAAATTCGAATTTTTTCAATATTTTTAATGGCAATGAAGTTATGAAAAAATGTTTAGAATAAAAAGGTATGATTGTTTTATCTTTAATTCATATTCTATACAATTTTTGTTTAGATGGCTGTGGGGTCTCATTTAAGAGCCTCAGAATTTTTCTTCAGTGCTATGTGCCTGCTTATTTATGAAATATATTGTCACCTGGTATCTGCTGTGGCTTCTAATGTGTTAAAAAGTAAAAAGTCTTGATGACTGCAGAATAACTGAAAATCCATCACAAATAGGCAAAATTCAAACAAAATAAAACGGTTTTTTCGCAATATAGATATTATAGATATCCCTCTGTAAAAATTACCCTTCGTTTCACCCTCCTTTATTAGTCTGTTAATGCCAATTTTCATGTCTATACCATGTTTAGTTTTTGAGATACAGAAATACTCAAATAATATTTGATCTAAACTGAAAAGTATGATGACACATGATTCTTTATGATCAAATGAATATAATCAGTTATTACAGTTTTTTAATATTTTCAGCTTTTGACATATTTGGTAGATTTTTTAAATAAATGTTAACCCCCCTTTCTACCACCATTAACATGATTTTTTTTTAAATTGAAAAACAGATACCATTTCATTTTCTGTGAAGAATCTAAATACCAATTTTCATAACTTTAATACCTCCTTTTTTTGTGATTAAAAACATGACAAAAATTGGTTGAATACATTCCTGAACAATTTGTATCGCATGTTCATTTAAATCTAAAAACAGCTGTCATGAACTTACATTTAAGATAAAAAAAAAAGATTATAAAGAAAAATGCATGGTATTTCAATATTCTGTAACTTCCTAAAAGATAATGATGATAATATTATTAAATATGTATGTATGGGAATTTCCATGATAACATTATTTCTAGTAATCAGAATTTAAAATAAATAATTGTGTAGCAAAGGCGTAAATTTTGCTACCGAAATTTGCTTGGCCTTGGCCACAATCTCTGATGATGCTGCTGCAAAAGATAATTTGGCCAAGGTTAATCATATCTACGTGGAAAGGTGTAAATAAACAATATCTAGGTGCAAGAACCCACTAGATTTATCTTGTACTGTGCTTTTTTACTGAACTAAAAAGATTGTTCCTTTTTTAGATTTTCATAATATTCACTCTTAATATAAATTTATTTTCTGATAATAGGTGGATATCTATATTGTTTTTGATTTTACTCTTTTTGCAATCTCAAGGGTTTCATATTTTGTAATCAATCTAATTTTTATATAATATATTAGTGTGATGTAATTTTATTTTCTATATTTGGCCACATCCACAGTGAATGCTTCTTTTGCTGAAAGCAAGTGATGACAGTCAGATTGAGAAACTTCAATTTAAAGAAATTTAATAATCTGAGGCTGACTGTTTAAATAAAAGTACACTTTTGGTCCCTATTTTCAGGGACTAAAATGGCACTTTTACTCCCTGCGAATACAAAATATCAAGCTACAAACTTTTCGCCTCGGGATTAAAAGTGCCACTTCGGTCCCTTGGTGTATAATATACTATGTGGGTCTCAGGTGATTCTAATAGAGTTACACTTTACGTGTCAACTAGTATTAATTGCTTGAGCTTCTGTGATTATATTTGTTCATGTTTTCTACTTATTTTTATTAATAAAATTGAACATTTTGATATTGAACGACATATAATGTGATACATTTATAAAAAATTCATATGTCCATGGTGCTATTGATCCATCCAAATTCCAGACCAGTCTGTTCAGCAGGCAACAACAGTAAAATGTATAGTAAACTTTCATTCATAGAGAGCATTGTTATTTCATTCATTTAAGACATGTATGACACGGATCTTATTTTCAACAGATTGATGAACTAAAATTAATATTTCAAAACAATAAAAAGAAAATGCTGTTTGTTGGTAAACACATCACTTGAGAACGGCTGAATTCATTTGGCTAATTAAGTGTTCGTAATAATCCAAATATGGTTTTCAGAGAAGGAAAAATTGCCCGTAAAATCGAAAAAATCGGGAAAAACTGGAAGAGATTTTTTTTTAAAATATTCTGCATGTAACAATTTCGGTAACAAAAGTAACTGGTAGCTACTGCACTGAAATCTTAATGTAACACTAGGAATAATATGTTTAAAGTTTTCTTTTTGGTTGACTAGTCTTATTACAAAAAAATTAATTGGTATGACAACACTGTAATGTGCCTTGCCTACTTAAAACTAAAACAGCTTGGGAATATTAATTTGAATCGCAAATTTTAGTAACTTCTTTTAGTTACTTATTTTAAATGATAACAGTGTGATTTAGCTAACCTATGTTGATACTTATTTTCATATCTATTTTTGTAAGTCTTACTCTATTACGTGTATTATCTACATAGGGAAAAATTCAGACTTTACTGGTGGTTCTTTTTCTTTAAATTTCAGCACCAGTACCAACTTTTTTGACAGAACAAGCATTATATGACGTAATAGACGATTGTGAGGCAAATAACAGTTACTCTCCACTTATTCGAACTTTAGGAGAAATTTTTAGTAGTATCGAAAATCTTTCAAAAAGTTTTCCACAAGAAGCAATTACGCCTACAAATGCGACGTCTAGTTTGGAAAATACAGGTAAAAACAAACTTTATTAATTTTAAAAATTATAAGGGATATATGTATATATTTTGTTATTGTTTTACTAATAACAGAAGATCATGGGAACCTTGGATAGCTGCCAATACTTTGTTATTTTGATTAATAGATTATATAAATAACGGTTGGCCTAGTTTGAAGGTTTTTCCAGCTGGAAAACTTGTAAATAAACGTATTTATTTTTTTTTATGTTCTGATGCATCTTGAATCTAATATATTTATAATTTTGGTTATGATTTGCTTACATAATGTAAACGAATATATATTAATTGAGATATGAGAAACTTCATTTTGGATAAACAATAAATAGTCATTTCATCACTGGGTACAAGAGACTCATACACAACATCCCCAGAAATTGAACGTTTGGGCCGGTATTTACAACAACAGAATCGTGGGACCTTTCTTCTTACAAGAAAATTTAAATGGGGAGAGGTATTTAAAACTTTTAGATAGACAAGTGATTCCGGCACTGGAGGTAAATGGACATCTGCCAGATAATATTTAGTTCCAGCAGGACGGGGTTCCACCCCATTACGCTCGCATTGTTCGAGATCGTTTAGATAATACATTTTATCATAGATCGATTGGAAGAAGAGGTACTTATGAATGGCCTGGGTGAAGTCCCGATCTTAATCCACTGGACTATTTTCTATGGGGTTATTAAAGTTCAAGGTTTATATTAACAGACCAAATAATTTGCAAGAATTAGCTGAAAGAATGACACAAGAGATTCAGAGAATTCCACCAGAAGTAATAGCTAATGTTACATGAGAATTTACAACTCGACTTGCCTATTGTCAAGAAGTAAACGGTGCTCAGTTTGAACATTTAATACATTAAGTTTAGTTTCGGTTTACATGGTATTCTTGTTTTATTTCACTGCTTTGTAATTCATTTAGTTTTAATTAATAATTATTATTATTAACTTCTTCAATTAGACTACTAGATATCATTAGATTTTCCTTACTTTAGTTATGTTTTTTTTTTAAGTCTCGGTTGGCATTATGAAAATAAAAAATATTGAACCCGATATATTTGAATTCGTAATAAAATATTTTATTCGAAAATAAAATAATATACAGGGTGTTTCATTAAAAAATTTAAAATCGATATTACTTCCGGTTAAACCGGAAGTTCAAAATTGTTAAAAAAAAAATAAAATCAAATTGACAATTTAATGTAATACCTACCTTCCAATTTTCATTTCGATATCTTTAACAATTCCATAGATATTTACTTGGTTCCACACATTTGCCCATCACTGTATACAGAACTTGTATTTATAAAAAGTGGCCGTAAATTAAATGCGGCCAAAAAAGTTATACTTTAGGTACTTATGTTAATAAATCCGTAAAATTTAATTTTATTGACAGTCGCCAAAAAAATAGAATACTATTTTTTTAGAGAAAAAAATGTGACATATGTAATGTAAACAAGCCGTATCTATTCTTTTGGACATCTGTGCAATACAGACAGCAATTTATCTTAGGCTCAATAGGAATTGCTACAATTTTACTTGCATGAAGAAAAATTTTGAACTGTAAAGCGGCTCTTATCGTTTGTGAGATCCAGACATTGTGATTTATTAAAATTTGCTTTTTCAGATATAAAAGCTTTAAAAAAAGAAGAGGTCCGATCTCTGGAAGGGGAAAAGGACAAAGATGAAGACAGTTCAGCAGAATCTAGTAAAAATTCTTTTGCGCCCGTCGACGTATCATCCGTACGCAGGGCGTTTACGGCACTGTTCAAATTGAAAACTTCTATTTTCGAAAACGCGCTTGTCAACGCTCTAGTTACTTTAGCGGGAAATTTACAAATGGAACTACCAACTAGGAAAGAAAGGGGAATCAACGACGATATTGTTAATGTTTTGATTATAGTTTTTGAAATTCCTGGATTAGGTAAGTTATTTTCCTAAAAAAACCCCAACCAATATATTTCTAAAATCTAAAACGTTTAAGTTATTTTCAAATATACTGAGTGCTTCGTAATGTCAGGCTATATATAATAATAAGAATCTTTATTTAATATAGAAAGTCCTAATACATAGTAGTTTTTTTTTTAAATATTACATATTATCGTCAATCTGCACAAATTCAGTGGAATAAATAAAATCTTGATAGAATTAGTAATAAAATCAGTAAGAAAAGTAAGACGTTTAGTACTAAAGTTAAAATAAAATAAATACATATTAAAGTAAACATACAAAGTTAATTTAGTTAATTTAATTTACGGACTGGAAATAAATTGTATTAAACATTTTTTAAACTGAGGTAGAGAGGTACTCGTTTTAATTTCACTAGGCAAAGCATTAAATTCAGGTAATTGCAATATATAAATATATTTTGTTGCTACAGCTAGTCTTGTTTGTGGAATATAAAAATTATTAACAGATCTTGTATTGTAGTTATATATTTCATTATTGTAGATGATAAACTCATTGAAGAACTCAGGAAGTTTTTTTATTTTTTGCTTTATAAACAAAAGTCATTGCTAAATAATAAAATCTTTGTCTGACTGAAATTCAACTTAAAGTGGTCAGCATACCATTTATTGGTGTGTATCTGTTACATCCAAGGATTATTCTCATTCCTCTATTTTGCAATTTTTGTAGTCTTGGTAAAAGCTATTATCCAATTTATAAAGTAACGATCCGTGGTGGTCAAAATGAGGTTGTATAATAGTTTTATAAACTGTTAATCTAGAAAAAAGGAAGAGATTTAAAGCAATCCTTGAGAAGAAAAATAGCTTTTTTGATATTTTTTTACATACATATTCGCAGTGAGGTTTCAATAATAGATTTTCATCTCAAATAAATCCCAAGTATTTAAATTCATTAATCCATTCAACATTCTCGTTTTCAATTCTAATGTTGTATCTATTATAGTTTATTTGATTTAATTTATATTTTCTTCCTAAAATCATTGCTTTCGTTTTTTTAGTATTAAGTTTATTTTTATTTAAAAACTAGGTTAAGAATCAATATATTATTCGGTTTATTTAAAATTTCTTCAAGGTTATACCCATAACATGCTACCAGTGTATCATCTGCAAATAGATGAATAAAGTCACACTCAATATAATTAATGTCATTTAAATATATGATAAATAGAAGCGGTCCTAATATACTTCCTTGCGGTACTCCTAAGTTATTTTTTAGCGTTTCAGATGTTGATTTACCTAGCTTAACATATTGTAATCTATCAGTCATATACTGTTCAAACTAGGTCAGGACTGCAAAACCATAATATTTCAATTTATTAATCAAAATTTTACGATCTATTGTCTCAAAAGCTCGTCTAAAATCTAGAAAAACTGCTATTATATATTTATTTTCATCAAGTACTTCCTTCCATTTAGATATAGTAAACTGTAAAGACATTTCGCATGAATGGCCTTCCCTAAATCCTGACTGATTTCCCACAAACAAACCATTGTTATTAAAGTATTCTAATATTTAGTCACAAACTATGGTTTTTAATAATTTTTCAACCGTCGGAAGTATATTTATATAGGTCGCAAGTTGGATGCATTTGTATCATTTGCAATTTTTTGGACTGGAACTATCTTGCTTGCTTTTAGTCTATCAAAAAATGTTCCTGTTTCTATTGAGGTGTTTATTAAATTTAACACTGCAAAGCCAGTTGTATAAAAGGTTTCCTTTAAAAACTTAGCACTCAATATCTCATCATAGCTTCCCTTAATTTTTAACGAAAAAACAGCTCTTTTTTTAGTTGATATAATGTAATTAATTTAAAATCAGTTAATGTTGATTGAATATCATTTAAAAAATTTGGTGACCAATCATCAGTTGAAGGTATTGAATTTGTTATTTCACATATACTATTTACAAAAAAATTATTTTATTTGTTGGCTGCTTCTTCTTCCGTTTTAGCGAAAGATACAGATCCATCAACAGAAAACCCAACAGAGTCAAATTTAATTTCAATATTTTTACTTTTAATTTATTTTTTAGTGTTTTCCACATTTCCTTAGAATCATTTTTATGTTCATCTATTTTATGTTCATAAAACTCTTTTTTCTTGCACTTCAATGAATTAACAACTATATTTCTTTTATTTTTGTATTCATTCCACAATACATTTTTATCTGGACCTAAGGCTCTTTGAAACTTTTTGTACACTTTATCCCTCTCTCTGGCCTGTACGTTTACCTCCTTATCATACCATGGAACATGATTTTTCTTTATCTGTATCTTTGTAACTGTTTTAAACTCTACTACAATTACTTTCCAGTTGACTAAAAATTTCATTTACATTATTTGAGTCAAATAACCAGTCACATGATATTAATTCTAAATTTATTTCATGATGTTTATCTACATTTAATTTTCTAGAGAAAAAACTTAATTCATTCACATAATCCACATTTTTCTCAAAATTAATACTTATAATCGAATGATCTGTTATTTTAGGAAAATGATGAACACTTACAGAAACATTTTGATTCGATAAAACATAATCGATTAATGTCAAACTGTCCACACTTATTGTGGTATAATCATTTACATGTTATTCAATGCCATAAGACTGAATTAAACTTTTTATCTTTTTGCTATAAAAATTATCTACAAAATAATCAATATTAACATCGCCCACCATTCTTCAATTTTATCTATAAAGACTGCATCACTGGAACTGGGCGAATGGTAAAAACCACCAATCAACCATTTAGTTTTATTAAAATTAACGTTAACAATTTTACACCAATAATTTGGCACAAGAATATCTTCCTATTTCACATTAAAAGTAATGTTGTTCCTCAGGTAAATAAGTACTCCTCTCATGTGTCGATTTGAAGAATTACATCTTACACATACATATCCATCTACTGCAATTTCAACATCTTGGATATCATCTGTACATCTTGCTACACTTAATATAACTATAGATGGTTGATAGCAAAGATTTCTACTAAAACTTCATCGCGGTGTGCCAAAAAATGTACATTCATATAAATTATATCACTTCTAAAAGATATATTAGGACCATTTACTAGTTTTTTTGTTTGTTTTGGGTAGATGCATTGCTATCAACAATTGTTGGAATATTATTTATGTATTTTATAGTTTTGTTTTCACCGTTATCTAATTATTCCTGCAGCTTCCTTTTGACATTAAAGAAGTACTCTCTTTGCGCTTTTGTTTGATCAGGAAAAATTTTAATAGTTGGAATTTTTATCTCCTTTTTCATTTTTAACACCTTAAGAGCTTCTTGTGGACTGCGAAAACAAACTTTTAGTGGTCTATTTTTGTTTTGGTTTTTGCCCAGTCTGAACACCCTTATATTTGTAATATCAACATCAATATCTTTTAGCAGTTATTTTACTGAGTCTTTATCTTCTCTTATTTTGTTTGCAACTATTTTTTGTTTCGATTCATTTATATTTAACAATAATGTTTGATGCCCTCTTCTGTCTTTCCGCCACTTACATCATTAGTTCTTCGCTGTTAATTTTAGCTACATTTGAAGCTGTATCTTTTTCGTTATTTTGATCAGATGCCTTATTTTTCATAAGTTTTTCAATGTTAATTTTTACTTGCTTTAACTCTATAGTTAGTTCTGGAACTTTCCAAAAACCTGTTTCACATTCACTGCACAAAAAAATTTAATTTCGTTTATTCTTGAATTGTAAACATTTGATTTCTGACGCTGTTAAGTGAGCACATAAGTACTCTTTGCATGAATCACATGGAAAAACTTGATTAGCTTCCTCATCCTTACACTTTGAGCAGATCTTTGCATCCATCTCAAGTTAAATAAATAGTCACAGATTTTTAAATTTTAATCACACTTATAATGGTGCAGTAGACACTTCCTATTTACGAATTTATTGACAACACTTTTTTTATTGCAATCATTCTGATTATGTTTTATATTACCCAGGCGGATTTGTCGCATCTCCATATTTGAGTAGGGAAGATTTGTGCGTGTATGAGGATGCGTTTTATGAATTAACCAGTATGGGCGTATACTACGCTTGATTTACACTGCTGTTACTCGTCAAATTTAATTGTATGCTGTGATCCAACTTCTTATTTTGTGGTTTAGACGATTCTTGAATTGATTTATGGAGGTAGAATTAATGGTACTGATGCTTAGGCAGTTCCAGTGATAGGCTACTCAATTGATAAGAAAATTTCTTCGCGGGAGTTTATTATATTTTTCTTTTGAAAGCTTTTTGTCATGAGATCTCAGATTTGTATTGTGACTAAAGTGGCAGATGTTTCTCACATTACAAGCATAGTGACTGTTGAGTATTTTAAATACCTCTGACTGTCCTGTCTCGTTTCTAATTTTGCAAGCCTGTCCTCATAGGGCAAATCTTTAAATTTAAATTTTTGATAATCTGGTTATTCGCCTACGCACTCATTCTAGCTACTCTATGTCTGTAACATAGTATGGATTCCAGACAGTTTGGACGTATTTAAGTTTTGGTCTTACATATGATTTGTGAAGTTTCAAGATCATTTCTGTTAAGTCTTTAGATCAGATGTTAAAGTGATTCCTAAGTATTTTTCTTTTATTACTGATGTAATTTCTGTTTAAAAAAAAAAGCTAAATTTGGAATTATTTTGACAGTGCATTTGGAATCATTCAAAAGCATTTTCCAATCCTGTGCTCACTTTTTGATGTAGCAGTGGATTTGCTTATGAGTTTCCATCATCAGCAACTGAAGCTTTGTTGGTGTGGAGTCCTTGGTTAAGGTCACTAAGTACACTATGAACAACAGTGGTTCTAGGACTGATCCTTGAGGAACACCGCTGTGTACTTTGTGCTCTTATGAAAGTGAGGAGTCCATTTAGAACCTTATTCCATCTCTGAGTTCTTAAATAGCAAGTTAAACAAATATCGAGGAGCGAATGCCTGATGATTTTGTAATAAAACTGTATTTCAAAGTTTTTTTGACGGGCTTTGTGGATTTTATGTATATAAGTGCAATAAACTATTTAATTATTATGTCGATCCATTGGTTTGGGCTATAAATTTGCCCATGATGGCAACTAGCGCTCTCTATTATTTCATTTTTCGCATTATTATAAAGATAAGAGTGTCCTGATATCAAGAACATGTGTTCTTATAGTGTCAATGCTATTGTTGTCTTGTAATAGCTTCTGTATTAATCAAAATAAGCTATTAAAACACACAACTAGATATTTTTTATAATGTTTCCACACATCGTACTACCAACGTATTACCGCTTGTCAAACATTAGTCACAATAAAAGTGAATCAACTCCTGACTTGCTCCATTATTATGCTAACTTGTAACTTACTTCATTTTAATAATGAATAATAATCGTTTATAAGTTTACTGCGTTAATATAAGGAAAATATAGTGCATACTTCGAGTTGACTCACTTTTATAGTGAAATTTATTAGAAAAAGTGATAACAGCACAAAATATAGAACTACACCTCTTTTACAATGAATGAAACACATAAGAAAGATTTTTTTTTAATTTGAATTTTTGACTGCGAGAACTGAGTCCATTCGCCAAACCACATAGATTAAATTTTACTTAGTTCTATATCATATAGTAAGGATAATACGCTCACGTCTAGTTTTACAAAACAAGAAAGATAAAACTCTTAAAGACTGTCACATATTATTGCAGATTGTGACAATATTTGAATTTTAGGTTCAGGCGATTTGCTAGAAACGGCACTGCCGGCGATATGTCGGGCGGCACAAGGTCTTCCCGTCGAAGTCCAAGCTAGCTTAGCCAGACAGTGGTCGGGAGTGGCTAGAAGTAGCCTAAGAAATATTTTAGAAAACCTTCAACAACTTATAACTCTACGTGCGATGATGACGCTCTTGAGAGACTTTTGTGTGCAGGATGAAAATGTCATTACGTCCGCCACTAAATTAATGAAGGTTTGTATTTTATTTTCTTGTGTGGGAATTTAAAATTATGGTCTCATTTATAAGACGCTAACAGGTGGTTTAAATTTATTTTCCCGCTGATGATTTTAAGCAGACTAATAGTTTGTTTACATTGTAAGTCTTGTGTATTTTTCGATTTTTTAGTTGTTTTTAGATATACAGGGAAAATAAAAATAATGATTTACAGTAAAATACTTCAATATAGTACATAATATTAATTAAAATGTTGATAGAAATTAAAAAATATGCTTAAATTTAAATCGATGCTCTTATTTTTAATTGATTTTGATTTACTTTATTAACCAACTTCAAAAAAAAGGAGGTTCTCAATTCGTCAGATATTTTTTGAGAAAATCATCAAACTCTTCATTTTTGGAGTTGATTTTTAAAAATTACTTTTATAACTTATTAAATAAATAATAATCCAAAATCAATACACACTTTAGTATTTGGATTTTTTTAATTTTACAAATTCCATGCTTGATTATGTATTTTCAAGTAATGTAGAACATTTTATGGGGAATATTTTTTTTTGTGAAATTTAAGATAAACTTTTTCCCATTTGTATAAAACTTTTTAGGACATATATTAGCATATATTTTTTATTTTGTTTAAAAATGTATATCTATCCAGACAATACCTATAAAATAATAATTCAACAAGATTTATATATAAATAGATCAAACCTTCATGAAAATTTTATTGTTATACACTTTATACAGTAGTTTGTGAAGATATTCTTTTCAAATTTTTGTACCAACATTCCTCTCATCAATTTTAAACAACTTTTAAAATGCCCGTCGATCCGTCCGATGTTACGTTTTTTGTCCGCACAATAAGTCAAAAACGAATAATTATATAAACTTGAAATTTTCAGAAAAATCAAGCCTCTATAAGGGGACGAAGTCTATTGATTTTGAAAAAAAAATATGATTAAAAATGGGGGTTAAGGGGTGTTGAAATAAAAAAAATCAAAAACGGAAAACATCGACTTGAAATTTACAGGAAAATCAAGCCCTGTAAGGGGACGAACCCTATGAATAAAAATGAAAAGAGAACAAAAATGGGGAGTTAAGGGGGTTGAAATATTAAAAAATACTAACTCGGAAACAAAAAACGATATCAACTTGAAATCTACAGGAAAAATCTGATTTAAAATGGGATATCAAGGGGGTTCTGTTAATCTGTGAAGAGTATAATATAGAATGCCAAATATTATGTATCTTCATTCTAGTTACTTTCCCTTTAGGAACTGTTAGATAAATTTTATGGTACATATTTTGAGTATTTATTTTCATTTATATAAAAACTAGTTGAATATCAAAATCGATATTGTTTTTTTTTTTTAGATTTTATACTATGCGAATATGTTAGCTGGTGTATTAGAATCACCGGAACTGAGATACCACAGTCTTACAGACTCAACTGACGGTTTACTTAGCAAACCAAAAAACACGCTGCCTTCTGATCCCCTTGCTGACGAATTAGGAGTACACGTATTAGACTGCCGGACGCCTTATATACCATTTTCGGAATTTTATCATGAACCCCTTAGCGAAGCTGTAGAAATGGATAGGGATTTTGCTAATTATAAAAGTGAAACAGGTTAGTTTGTATGAATAATTTTTTAAATGTCTAAATTTGATTCTATTCCATTTATTTCAACATAATATATGAAATATTTGTAGGTAAATTTAGTTTTATGCACTATCCGTTCATTTTAACGCCTGCAACGAAAACGATGGGTCTATATTTCGACAATAGGATACGAATGTACTCTGAACGAAGAATTAGTTTTTTGCAGACGTTCACTGGGTTGCCGTCGCAGCCGTTTTTAAAATTAAAAGTGAGAAGGGATCATATTATAGATGACGCACTTGTAGAGGTAAGTTTTTTAACAACTGAATCATTTATATAAGAATGTGAATTCAAGGTTTTAAAAATATATTTGTAGAAAAGAGTTTATTTTAAATAAATGAATATTGCTTCACATTCTACTTGTTCTTCCAATATTTTGCATATTTGATCCGAGGGTTGCCTTTTATATTTTGGGATTGGACAATCCTGGTGCTGCCACCTCTCGACTGATTTCTTCGTGGTAAAATTTGACGTTTGTAGCGATATATGTACTCAAACTTTTTGACGTAGGAGTGTTATTTGTGTTGTTTACAGTAACTTGAAAAATTAATGCCCAAAAAATGGAATTAAACATTTTCTTGCAATTCATTTTTGCAACTTTCGACTCAACAACGGTGCATCAATGAACCTAATTCGACTTTTGAACCAGTGTTCATATCAATGGTCTACCTAATTTAGTTAGGGCCATGCTCAATGACAAAAATCATTAAAATCGTCCAAAATCGGTTATTGTTCCGGAAAACATGTGAACTGATACTCCAAGAACGTCTATGACTTATCGTGAGATTGTAACTATAGCTAGGCCAAATAACCACCATTTGTCACCAGTGTAACAACCAATAGGTCTCTAATTACTATCATCACTAAACTATTAAGCGATAGGAGGCAGCATTGTCACCAGCCATATGGTCCTGGAGTCCTAAAAGAACATCTATTCGTCCTTAATAGCATAGTCGAGCGGTTTTGGCAACTGATAAAAGTATCTGCTAGTCCTTAGGGGTAGAAACGCCAAGGCTTCATAATTGTTCGGAATATTTTATAATTGGTTTTGGAAAAAGGAGGAGATAATAATAAGTGAATAAACATGTATATTTAAAATAATTACAAAATAACTAAATGTCTCAAGATAAATAAACAATTTTTATTTTGGGAATATGCAAATATAGACAGACTACTTATGTTTAGTACACTGGTTGATGATATGTCCGAACTTTTTGATAAAGACTTAAATGAATTGGGCCGGTATTTTATTATATTTCTGACTCGAAGATGTTTAAAAAAGTAAGTTATTTTTTATTGTTGATTGTCTTATTTCAACAATATCGTTAATACTTCTTCGTCATCAATTTCTTTTTGAAAACTCGACCAAATCAGAAAAATCTATGTCTTCTTCCATTACTAATTCTTTAAATAATTACAAAATACAGTAATGTTAAATAACAAGTTAAACTGATTCCGAATTAAAAATTCTTATTAAATCCCAAAACTTTAACAACGATTTGTAATCAGTTCGAAATACAATTCATTTGTTGTTGGAATACTATATGTTCTGAATTTTTAAATAGCTTTGCATAAAATTCAGTAAAGTTCTGAATCGTTCTAAAATTGTGTTGGAACAAACCTTAAGTCGGGAGGAAAGGACCAAACTCCAAGAGTACAATAGACACATAAAAATAATGTAAAAAAACTCATGGTTTTATCCGATTTTTATTTGTTTTCAAGTTATAGGATAAAACAAAAGTTCATACATTAACATTATTTTAATCATTGCGTTATGCCATTGAACTCGTAAACATTTTCTGCTTCGTTTATGAAGAGTGCCTGTTGCTCTCTTAATTGATTCGTCTTTAATATCGGCAGCAGTATTTTGAATACTTCGAATTAGTGCATCACGAGTGTACATATTTACAAATAAAAATCAGATAACATATGAGTTTTTTTTTATTATTTTCATATGTGTTTGGTCCGTTCCTCCCGACTCATTCTATATAATTAAATTTCTAGTTGGAAATGATTTCGATGGACAATCCGAGCGATCTGAAAAAACAGCTAGTCGTCGAATTCGAGGGAGAGCAGGGCATCGACGAAGGAGGCGTATCGAAGGAATTTTTTCAATTAGTTATAGAAGAAATTTTCAATCCGGATTACGCGATGTTCGCCATTCAACCGGAATCGCAAGCCACCTGGTTCAATCCTACTAGTTTCGAGAGTGATGCTCAATTTAAGCTTATAGGAATAGTTTTGGGATTGGCGATATATAATAACGTCATTTTGGCTGTTAATTTTCCTATGGTGCTATATAGGAAGTTGATGGGGAAGAGGGGGAGCTTTGAGGATTTGCAGGACTGGAATCCCGTAAGTAATAATAGTTATTTATAGCGATGAATCTTTTCCGGAAAAGTAATTTTTGAACATATCCAACCAGTTCATTTGTTAACATTTTATTTTTATTAGATTCAAGATTGTATTCATTTAAACATAAATAATTTGGTTACTTATGTACCTTTAAACTACTTTTTTTATAAACTGTATTTGAAATTCAATTACAGAATGGTTCCTTTTTGTTAAAAGTAAAATAAAACACAAATTAATCATTATTTTCATATTACCAACTCTCGTTAGTTTCAATATCGGTATTGTGATCATATTCACTTAATTTCCTAAATAAAAGTAACTGTAAGTAGGAATTTTCTCTTTTTTAGGTACTATATAATAGTTTAAAGCAACTTTTGGAATTCGATGAGCCAAATCTTGAAGAAGTGTTCATGCAAACTTTTAGAATAAGTTACCAAGATGTTTTTGGTTCAACGATTGATTATGATTTAAAAGAAAATGGGGAGAAGATAAATGTTACACAAGAAACTAAATATGTAAGCAGTTATTAAATCAATGGTTAATTTTCCTTAAACGATTTTTGTTTTTTTTTTTATAGGAGTTTGTAGATATGTACGCCGATTTCTTATTGAATAAAGCTGTGGAAAAACAATTTTCTGCGTTTTACAGAGGTTTTCAAATGGTAGTAGATGAATCACCTCTTGAACTACTTTTCCGTCCAGAAGAAATAGAACTTTTAATTTGTGGAAGTAAAGTACGTACTAAAATTGGCTTCTAATACTTTTTGTATACTAAAAATCAAAAACAAACAACCATTTTAATTCTCATTTTTTCAGAACTTCGATTTTGATGAACTGGAACACTCAACAGAATATGACGGGGGTTACACAAACGAATCGCAAATTATCAAAGATTTCTGGTCAGTGGTCCACGCTCTGTCTACAGAAGACAAAAGAAAGTTACTTCAATTTACAACAGGTTCGGACAGGGTTCCAATCGGAGGCCTAAGTAGACTGAAGCTCGTCATAGCCAAAAACGGACCTGATTCCGACAGGCTGCCTACCGCTCACACGTGTTTTAACGTACTTTTACTCCCGGAGTATTCTTCTAAAGAAAAACTAAAGGATCGGTTGGTCAAAGCGATAAATTATTCGAAGGGATTCGGCATGTTGTAAAAAAAAATCGTGTTTTTTTTGTGATTTTAAGTATATTCAGTTACTAACAAACTGTAATATTTGTTTTTAATATAATTGTGTACAGCCCCCTATCAAATGACTTTTGTTGTTTATTAGTTTTTTTGTATTGTGTATTTTTTTAACAGTTTACCAAGAAAAGAAGTAATAAAATACCGTCGTTAATTAAAAAAAAAATAGTACACGTAGATGATTCTGGTTGTGTGTCCAAATACCTTTGAAATAAATCAACCTTGGTTTAAATTTTAACTGTAAAATTTTTCAAAAATCACCAATTTCGTTTAAAAACATTCGACCAAGTATAAGTCTTATTCTGTATTTAGTTGTTTTAAAATAGAGTTGATCGATTTAGTTCTGGTGATGATACAAAGTATCGGTAAGTACAGCAGAGTTTTCTTTTTGTATGTACCAAAAACACCAACGAATGGAATCTTGATAATTTTCGTTCAATTTACACATTCTTAACTTTAGTATTTTTTTTTTGTTTTCATGTTTTTGAGATAAGTTTATGGATTGCAATTTTTAAGCGTCTTTTCCAAAAAAAATTGAAAGGAGAGATATCTGTAGCGGATCTATTATTTTGGGGCCCCACACTTTATCATTTTTATTTTATATTCCTTACCTATTGTTTCAATATTTAAATCTACTAATAAATAAAATACCTAGGTATATTGAAATAAAAACAAGAAAAAACAAATATTTTTGTTTAACATTTATTGGTAAAATTAAATAAAACAAACTAAAATGAAAACATAAAATTAAGTCAAAACCAATTTAAAATAATAGGAAAAGTATTCTCTATTTACAACAAAAATATAAAGAACAATTACATTTCTTTAAGTACAAAAATGAAATTGACAACAAAATAAAATACGAATTGGAACATATAAACCAAAAAAAAGTAAAATTAAACAAATAAAAATTATCCTTTTTTTCTCAATTTAATATCTGCAAATTATTTCTTCATGGTAAATCTAGTTTCTTGTTCTAGTTCTAGCTGCTTCTATTCGTTTTCTAAACAAAAAATAAATTCTGTTTTTCACGTGGCTCTTGTATCAGATATAATTTAAATTTGAAACATTTACTTTTTAAAATTAAATCAAGATACAATAAAAACTAATTATTATAAACATTGTGCAATTCCAACAACCAAAATGCATTATAAAAGCATATTTAAAAAATTTAACTTTACTTTCAAAAAAATAAACTTATAACTAACAACAGGTTGAAATATAATTTCTACTAAGATATTTTTATAACGACCTTATTCTTTTTTTTTTACTCACCACTTGTACAGCCAAACACTAGTAAATACTACGAGATAATATCGGGAAATTAAATTTCATGACCTAGTAGCGATATTATCTGCTTTACTGTACTCCCACTTCATGAAATTTCCCTTTCTTAGGAATATTGCGTGCGGCGATAATTGAATTTAAATTAATCGACTATTATTTTATACAATGTCACACAATTAAAATAACATTTTTAACTGGAACTTTAAAATGTTACAAGCGTCACAAAAAACGCCCGTACAATGATTTTCGATACGTCTTTTTTCGATTGTGTGAGGAAACCCCACGGAGATGAGGTCCGCATCCAGGTTCCGGTGCACCAGGGGATCGTTTTCGACGTGAAACTTGGATTAATTGTCCAAAAAACGCCCCTACAATGATTTCGGGTTGTTTTTGGCAATCTTGTCAGGAAAATTCTCGGGGATGACGTCCAGGTTCGGGCGCACCAGGTGTCAGAGGGTGTTCGACGATGCCGCATTTGAATTCAGCACCCTGTAAGGGGTTTTATCGCCACAGAGAAAACGGTTCCTTACGAATGGCGCTGGTTACGGGCGGTTCTCGAGCGCCAGATTTTTGGTGATGGTTTACTTCACAAACTTTCGAAGCGGCGTCGAAAGTAGTCGGGTAGCTACAGATGGAGATGAAAAATTCCAGGGGTCAAAGGTCACTTAGACACAGGTAATAGAAGGCCACAAGTAACGGGCTTTAATCGTTTCTTGGGCTGGTACAGAATTTATCGCTAGCTGAAAAACAATGGGGGAATAAAGTTGGGAATTAACAACCAGTAATACGGCCAGTTAACATTGACACATATATTGTTTTAAACTATTTACAAAAAAAGAATAAATTAATGTATTTCAATGCCCACCCTCACGATAATATGTACAAACCCTAAACAAAAATAAACAAACAAAACGGCCGGAATTGACTTCCGAGTAGTCTCAATCAGACGTAAAGAAAAAAAAATGAAATCGATAATTGTAGTTATGTTATCACGGTCACAGCAAAAGTTTATTATTGAACTATTCGACAGGTTCGGGACAATACTAATTCCAGGGCTGAAACCGGGACTCTATAAGAGGTTTACTCAAACTAGTGGTTGGAAAGTAAAACCAACTAACAAGCGGGATAGTACATTATCTCTGAATGAAATGATCGTAATCACGAGCCGCTTCAGACTGGGGAATGAACTATTTAAGTTCAATTAAAATAACGGAATCTTACATAAAATAAATTAATAACCGGGATAGCACGTTACCTCTGAATGAAGTGATCGTAATCACGAGCCGCTTCAGACAGGGGAATTATACTATTTTAGTTCTGTTGAAATAACGGAGACTTACGCAAATGAATGTTTTAGATGTAAAATAAACTAATAACCGGGATAACACCTTATCTCTGGATGAAGTGATCGTAATCACGAGCCGCTTCAGACAGGGAATGATGCTATTTAAATTCTCTTAAAATTTGCGGTTCGGAGGATAAAACAAAAGAAAATGTCTCGTCGCAATTCTACCAATATAACCAATCAAAACATTAGACAATTCGGGTTGTTTTTGGCAATCTTGTCAGGAAAATTTTCGGGGATGACGTCCAGGTTCGGGCGCACCAGGTGCCAGGGGGGTGTTTCTTGAATGCATTTTTGGCTGCAGCAATGCAATTTCCGGTTTGTATAAGATATTTAAAGTAGGGACATTTCTTCCAAAAAACCGCATTCCGATTCGTCTTAGTCTAAAAAATTACGAACTTTTGGCCTTTTTAGTGCTTCATTGCCTCGACTATAAATATGTTAATGCGGTTTAAAGTAGGAAAGTAATGCTTTCATGGAGTGAACGTCCCTGTAAAAACCTACCTCGTCCTTATCCTCACACCATGATTGGGTTCCCATCTCGTTAGGAAATCAAACAAATAATTACTTTTATACAATTTATTTTTAATTTGTTACGTCTGTAATACACAAACAATATGCAATCGGTACCCAGTGCAATAAGCAGACAAAAATCTCTTGAAATTATGTGCCCCCTATAAAAAAGGAACGAGTTGCACATAATGTTGTGTTCCACGAGTTATAAATGCATAAAATACATAATAAATTATAAAATCATATTGAAACAAAATGCCACATTACATTTTGCATACTCGAACGCTGGAAAAAAGGACATAATAATACTTATTATGAACTCTTATTTTTTCCATTAACTAAATAAGTTACATAAATTATTTATTGACTGGAAATTGGCCTAAAATAGGTATAATTATTATCTGTGTTTATAATACACCCCTGATAAGAAAATCTAAGGATTTCTAATTATACTTCTAGAAGTTTAGACTCTTAACTTTATTATTAAATATTAGATGTTCGCAACATTACACGAAATCTACTAAATAATTATAAAACACCAAGCATTTCTAATATAAATATATGTATAAAATAGCTTCGAACCCCAATCTCACTATTTTCCACAATAACTGCATATTTTATATTTAACTGCAAAACAATTTTACATAATACGATTCTTTTTTCATACATCAGTTTAGAAATATGCGAGAAAAACAGTGCAAAACCATATTTAGGAACTTTATTTCGACACTTTCGGACAACTTCAGTAGTATTCTTTAAGTTAGATGTTTTGTTACTAATAACTCGTCTGACTGTAAAAAGTGGCACGTCGTATAGAAGAGGGGGTGAACAACCTTTTTTGCCGGCAGTGAAAGATATGCTTCTAGGAGTCAATAACAATGAAAAAAAAAATAGTTTTACTTCATTCCGCATTTTGTATCCCTTACAGATCGTCTGGCTACAATTGTGACTTATAATTTAGGTACATAAGGTTCAGAATATGCTTAGAAGCTATTAAGACCGGCGTCGTTTGCTTGTGAAAGGTTTACTTAAGTGCATGTTTACCGCCGCAATCGTCAGTTAGCTTTTGTTTTAGGTTGAAAGTGTATCGATAATAGCTGTGTATAATCGAAAATGGCTTCGCGACGTAAGTATATTTTTTTAAGTATTATCACCGTCTTTTTAAATATTTCTTTGTGGTATATTACTGTCAAATGATTGTATCTATTTGTACCATCAATGGTTTCATGAAATATGTTTGAAGTTTGTACTAAATTTATTGAAACACCTTGATATCACAATTGTGTACTTCAGGTCTAAATATAGTAAAAGTTCCAAATATAAGTAATGAACATAATTTTCTTTTCTAACAGGTTCAAATCGCAGAGCAGCTTCAGGCTAATCCGAATGCTTTATATGAAATGTTGGACGATATTGACTCAGATCTGGAGTTTGAAGGGGAAGAAGGTGAAGATTGGGAACCCTCAAATTCTACAGATGAATTTCAAAATTCTGAAAAAGAATCTGAATCAGAAGATAGCAGTGTTGACGAAACGCCTTCTCTTGCTGATACTGCCACACAAAAAAAGGGTAAAAAGGCAAAGGCTAATTGGACTTGGATGTTTTGTCACCTGCACAATATTTTCAGAGGTACTTGGGTGATGAATTTTTCGAACTGGGTGCTTTACGCACTAGCCAATACTATTTTAACAAAAATGGAAAACCTTAACAACATTCCTTGTTGCCTGAAGAAGTAAAGAAGTTCTTCGGTATTCATGCTATTTTGGGCTTTGTAAAATATCCAAGACTTAGGATGTATTGGACAGTCAACTTCAGATTGCCTCTCATTGCCGATATATTACCTAGAGATCGCTTTTTCTTGCTTCGTTCTAACTTTCATATAGAAGATGAAAACAGGGTTTCAGAAGAGGACAAAAAAGTAATAATCCGCTTTGGAAAATACAGCCTATGATAACTTATGTCAGAAATAGATGCCAGCAACTCAAATGATCTCAAAACGGAACTTATTCAATTGATGAGCAAATGATTCCTTTTTTAGGTCGTTGTGCGTTAAAACAATATGTCAAGAATAAGCCGAGACCTGTTGGCCTTAAAAATTTTGTTTTGACGACTTCTAAAGGAGTTGTATTAGATTTTGAAATCTATCAGGGAAATACAACTCCATTTCAACACAAAGCCCATGGACTTGGACCGGCTGTAATTCTACATTTTGCTCACAAGTTTTCAAAGAAAAGTCATCTATTTTTCGATAGGTACTTTAACTCAGTGGGGCTAATGGAGCAGCTAAATCATATAGAAATCCACGGTACTGGCACTATAATGAAAAACAGGCTTCAAGTAAGCTACGATTTCATTCCCGATAAAAGAATGGCAAGAGGTGATTCGCAGTCAGTTATTAGAAGTGATAATAATCCCATAGTACTTTTTTTTTTTTTTTTTTTTTTTTTTTTTTTTCGAAAATCCCTTTTGTAGACACAAAAAAATGCTTGCAATATTCAGAAAAAACGAG